TTTTTTTTAGAGGTTTTTGTTATAGGGCACATGTGTTCGCCAGAAAGACAAGAGAGAGACAGAGAGACAGAAAGTGAGAAATCACCCCCCGGGGGGATGGCCACACCGCAATTCCTTCTCCTCCATTCTCCTCTCAGGATCTTGGGCACGCACGCACACACACCCAGCTTGAGTTTAAGCCACCAGGTCTGGGACTTGAACCACGGTCGACTACGTGGGAGTCCAGCCATATAGGCATTATGCCAATTGTTGGTCCCGATCCACATACATTTTTAACAGTAATTATTGTATTTGTTTTTTAAATGTATCGTGGATTCTCATTCTGTTTTAAAATTTATTATTTGTGTGGGGGATACGGTATGGTTTTTCACAGTATAGTGATCACGTATACATTCATCCTTAGCATTGAACGTTGGATTATGTTGTGTACATTTGATAGGTCTAGGGTTTGCTTTTATGGAGAGAGAGGGGATGTATTAACATATTGAAGAGTGGCTGTTTTTCACTTCGCGTGGTGAGAAAGCATTCTGAACCCATCCCGCTTGTTTGCATGCATTCTGGTGGCTGATCATTTTCTCCCCTACCCCTGTCCAGCTTCTGGTATCAGCATTTCTCTATCTTCTTTTCCGTCAAAACTTTCCTTTTCCATGGTAGAGTGTGGATATTCGGTGTATGTTAAAGCAGGCCATTCGGTATTTGTCTTTCATAACCTGACTTGCTTTAGGTAGTGGTATGTCTAATAGGTTTATCTATTTGGTGTCTATAGGTTATTGTTCTTTATGACTGAGTAGTACTTTTACCCTCTTTTTTTTTTTTTTTTAAGAGATTTTTGGTATAGGGCACATGTGCTTGCTGGAGAGACAGAGATAGAGAGATAGAGAGATAGAGGGATGGTCATGCCACAGTTCCTTCTCTTTCATCCTCCTCTCAAGATTTTGGGCACACACGTACATGTGCACCTGGCAAGTTTTAAGCTACCAGGTCTGGGAGTCGAACTAGGACCAACTACGTGGAAGTCCAGCAACGTAACCATTACACCACCTGCTGGTCCCTCTTTTTTTAGTTCTCTCCCATAGTTTGTCATCTCCGGCCTTAATTGACTGACCTATGTCACAGAAACTGAAAGACTTTTTTTTGTAAAGGATTTTTTGCCTTAGGGCGCATGTACTTGACTTAACTGCTGTATCATTTGCTAGCTCCCTGAAAGACCTTTTTATATTAGAAAAAAGAAAGTGGAATTAAATCCAGGCTGTTTATATTATTTGAAATTTTTGTTTATATACAGTATTTTTTTATTTTAAATATTTCTTACCTACCTGCATCTTCCTTGGGGAGTGCATCTGAAGTTGTTACTGGCCCATTTCCCTTTGTGACAAGGGGTACTGTTTCAACATTGTTGGCTGTGGCCCTGGAACAAATGAAGTTAAATGGCCTCAGGGGGATTCATCTATGGGGTTGGCATTTTTCAGCTCTTTAATGTGTTTGACTAAGTGAGTTATTAGTCCTCATCAGGGAAGATCATCGCCTGTGATCAGCGGTCAGTTAAGACTACTCCCCAAGGTACTTTCTGTCTTAAGTACAAGTCATTTGATATCATTCTTCCCTTTTAGGACTCATGTCCATTTCAGTTTACGCTAGTCTGGGGTTGATGCTTCTCTATTCCCTATAGCTTTTGCATTAAACATTAAACAGGATGTTTTTTTAAAAACGACTGATCAGACGAAAGCCTAAGTACTGGCATGACTCTGTAATTACACATCATCCATAGGAGAGTGTACTGAAATGTGAAGACACGTGTCACCCTGGTGTTTTGCTGTGCAAGTGGCTTGTTTTTTGGGTTCTATTCGTGTTGTTTTTGTTGTTTATTTGTTGTTGTTCCCAGCTCTTCTTCATTCAATCAGAAATCTCCCAAGAATAACGAGTCACTGTGGTATACAGTGTCTGGTAGCCTTTAGCTTAAATCTTTGGTTTGTAATTATCTAGATGTTTCAGAAAGAGCAAGTGGATCCTCTTCAGATGAAATTGCAGCAGGTGAACGGACTCGGCCAGGGATTAATTCAGAGTGCAGGAAAAAACTGTGATGTGCAAGGTTTGGAACATGACATGGAAGAGATCAATGCTCGATGGAATACACTGAATAAGAAGGTGAGTGACAAGAGTAACAAGTGTACTGAGAACAGAGGCATAGAGGAGACATCTAAATTTAAGCTTCTTTGGAACCCCAGTGCACATAGGAGATGAGTGATTAAATCTCTAGCTACTAATAAGGGTCTGTAGCAATTTTTAAAACTGCTCTCTCCTTCCTCATAATGAGCCTACGTGTGTGTGGTACAGGTTGCGCAAAGAATCGCACAACTACAGGAGGCTTTGTTGCATTGTGGGAAGTTTCAAGATGCCTTGGAGCCCTTGCTCAGCTGGTTGGCAGACACTGAGGAGCTCATAGCCAATCAGAAACCTCCATCTGCCGAGTATAAAGTGGTGAAAGCTCAGATCCAAGAACAGAAGGTAAGTGAGAATGTTGGGACAGTGAGCTAGCTGTAACAGCCCTGGGGAGTGCTAGACAACACATGTGCTTCCAGTTTAAAGAGCAGTTCAGGAGTTTTAGTAGAATCCAAATATACTTTGTGTCATCCTGAAAAGTAAGGTAAAAATTAACTGTCATCATCTTATCTTATTTGTGTTTTAATTACCACAGGGCACGTGTGCTCACCATAGGCAGATAGAAAGACAAGGAGAGAGCACCTCACAGTGGGATGTAATTCACACTGCAATCCCTTCTCCATTTCTCCATCTTGCCTGGATTTGGGGCATGTACACGCAAGTGCCTGGCATATTTTTTAACTTGCTGGGGCTGGGATTCAGACCATGGACAGCCATGTGGAATTGGACTCCCTCACTACTAGGCTACAAGAATAGACATCATCTTATTTTAATCTGCTAGTTTACTGTGGAGTATATTAGACTGAACGGTTTTGATTATTCGTGCACATTTTTTATTGTATTTTATTATTACTATTAATTTTTAACTTGTATAGGGCACATGTACTCATCAGAGAGAGAGAGAAGGAAAGTGAGAAAGCAAGCTACCAAGTCCTGACCTTGAGCCACAGTCAGCCATGTGGGAGTCCAGTGCCTTAACCACCATGCCACTTGCTGCCCCCATGCATTCAATTTTGATTTTTTTTTTTTTTTTGGAGAGATTTTCACTGTAGGGCGCGTGCGCTCGCCAGACAGACAGAGAGAGACATAGAGACAGAAAGCGAGAAATCACCCCCCAGGGGGGATGGTCACGCCGCAATCCCTTCTCCTCCATTCTCCTCTCGGGATCTTGGGCACGCATGCACACGCGCCCGGTGTGAGTTTTAAGCCACCGGGTCCGGGACACAAACCGCGGTCGACTACGTGGGAGTCCAGCGACATAGCCATTACGCTAACTGCTGGTTCCCTCAATTTTGTTATTTCACCCATAGTTTTATATGAAGAGGTTTCGGGTGTTTTCAGGGTCAGCAATTTTCAAAATGATGTTGGCTGTCTTGTACAAAGTTCTGTGTGTTCATTTGGTTGGTTTTATTCCTATTTCGGTACATCCTTTTCTTGTTTAAAAATTTACCCCCAAGGGAATTTTTTTGGGGAGGGGGTTGCTATAGAGTGTGTGCGCTCACCAGAAAGACAGAGAGACAGAGAGATAAAAAGTGAAAATTCACCCCCAGGGGGATAGCCATGCTGCAGTCCCTTCTCCTCCATTCTCCTCTCGAGATCTTGGGCATGTACACACATGCGCCCGGCGTGAGTTTAAGCCACCAGGTCCAGGACTCGAACCATGGTCGACTCCATGGGAGTCCAGTGACATAGCCATGATACTGGACTCCCTCAGCTCTATCCAGGTATAATTTACAAATAAAAAAATGTATCTATGCAGCATACAGCATGTTTTGGCATGTACACTAGAAGGTGTACCATAATCAAGCTAATTAACATACCCGTGACCTCACTCTCTACACCTTTTTTCTAGGAACTTTTTTCTTGGTCCCTGCTAGTCACTTACTTGCAGTCACTATTCCATGTAAAAATTCAAGTGTGTGGAAAATCCACATGGTGGTGGGTTTTGTCCCTGTTACTCAAGTAAGCGTAGGATTTGGCAGGATACGGGGTTTGGTTTGCTCATTCATTTTTCCTATTTCAGATTTTTAAATGCTCCTATGTTATCACTTTTCATTCTCTTTAAACGTGTGTAAAATAGTTGCTCCAGCGACTCTTAGATGATCGAAAGGCCACGGTGGACATGCTTCAAGCAGAAGGAGGCAGAATAGCCCAGTCAGCTGAGCTGGCCGATCGAGAGAAAATCACCGGGCAGCTGGAAAGTCTTGAGAGTAGGTGGACTGAACTGCTCAGCAAGGCAGCAGCCAGGTAAGACTAAGAGATTTCGAGGAAGGGGACAGACATTTGTGTTTTCTTGTTTTTGACTTATCACTAAAATGCTCCAAAAGCTCCCAGGTGATTCATCTAGTGATTTGGGAGATGGTTATTGGCATTTATGTGAAGACGACCCTCATAACCAGAATGTCTCCGAGGAAACGCACTGCAGCTCCCCTTGATTCCTGAGGACTGCAGACTCGCAGCTTTGCGTTGGCAGCTGTGGGGTAATCGTGGTTCTCAACGACAGATGCAGGCTTCTGCTACCCAGCCAAGTTGTTTTCTGAGTTTTTAAAACATTTTCTTTCCCTTTGATAATTATAAATAATGTTTTGGATATTGGGGATCAAAATTGGTCATATTTCTTTCGCTTCACCCTAATATTAGATGGTTTATATCTAGGAGAGCTGGTCTGTGGTTCTGTTAAATATACGGGCATTCATGAGATGCATGGGTTTTCTTCGGTAAATGGCCAAAAGACAGGCGGTATCCTTCCCTCCTCCAAGGAAGTGCTGTCTCTCTCTGTAGCTATAAGTAACTCTCATGTCACTTGAACTTAATAAGTCACATGGACATCTTTACTTTCAGTTCGTACTGTTCCCAGTTTTAAAAATAAATGCCAGCCGATCAGAAATCGGGACTAGTGGGAGAGCTGATCATTTGTTGTTTTACCCTTGAAGTTTTCTAGGAAGCCGACGGCACTCTTCGAGTAAAGTCCTCTTCAGTCTCTTTACTTCCACCTGCCCTTGATGTGCTGCGTTCTTACCTGAGTTGCGAACTGTGGCGTGCCCATATTAGTGGGAAAAGCAAAACTGAAATAATTCAACTTACTTTATTTCCAGATTTGCACTGCATTTTTCCTTTTCTATCTGTCCGTTTCCATTAACGGTATCATTATCCTTGCAGCTACTTTGGCTCAAAGCCTAGTCTTTCTTTGATGCCACCTTTGTGCCCCACATCCATCAGGATGCTAAATTATGTCCATTTTACTTCTGAGGGTCTCTCTTGTAGACCCACTGCTCTAATTCTTACTCTCCTACCTCAGATTGTGACTTAAGAGCTTTTCCTTGGGCTGTCGCAGCAGCTCCCTAACTAGTCACTAATCCCTCTAGACTGCTTACCTTCAGACCTTCCCTTCTTTCTGTCTCCTGGTCGTAGGTGAACATTTTCACGAAGCCACTGACCATATCTTCCCATGCTCAGACATGTAATGGTTCCCTGTTGTCTGCTAAGTCAAATCTAAAACATTTAAATCCAACATATAAAGAAGCTCTCTGCTGTTTGACCCTAACCTGCCGTTCTTACTTTTCATTCTTCTCCTCCTCCTCATATTATAAATAAACTGTAGCTAGTTCCTTAGTATCTTGTCAATTTTATAAGCCTGCTTTCTGATGGTGGTGTATCTCATGAAATGCTTTTGTTCTCTCTTCTGTGAAACATCATCCCCCCAGCAGAGAATAACTTTTTCTGTCTCTTAACTGCTTAACTTTTTGGCCCATAAGCTCATTAAGGTCATGGGTTTGGGGACCAGCAGTTAGCATAATGGCTATGTTGCTGGACTTCCACGTAGTCTACCTCGGTTCATGTCCCGGACCCAGTGGCTTAACATGCCGGGTGCGTGTGCGTGCGTGCCCAAGATCCCGAAAGGAGAATGGAGGAGAAGGGATTGTTGCGTGACCATCCCCCCGGGGGTTGATTTCTCACTTTCTCTCTCTCTCTCTGGTGAGCGCACGCGCCCTATAGCAAAAACCTCTCAAAAAAAGAAAAAGTCATGGGTTTGCTTCTAATGTGTCTTTTTTATAACTTTTTCCTTCCATCCCACTTGTTTCTGTCTTCCTGGCTGGCTTAATAAAGTTTCTGGGACATTACTTTAAAGAGAAAAATGAGTAGTTTCATTGTTTTTTAATTATTCTGTGCCAGAGGACACATGTGTTTGCCAAAGAGAGACAGAGAGAGAAAGCTCTCCTGAGTTGGGCATGATTACTCTCTAATCCCTTCTCCGTTTCTCCATCCTATCTGCATTTGGGATGTGCGCCCAGGGTGTTTTTTTAAGCTGGAGGGTCCAGGATTTGAATGTACAGTCAGCAGTTCAAACTCCCTTAACCAGTAGGCCATGGGTCTGGCCTAAGAGTTTCATTTATTAAAGACATTCTAAAAACGTTTATTATCATTTTTTTTTTAAGTTTGGATATTCGGTGCTTATAAGTTGTTTTAGCTCTTCTCTTCAGTACCTAAAACTTACTACTTTGAATTCTTCAGACTTCCAAATTCCAAAGTCAGAGATGAGTCAGAACAAGAAATTAGAGTCATTTTTTAAAAAATGAGCCTCCTGTACCCTGCGGTGGTGTGATGGTTAAGGTGCTGGACTCCCAGATAGCCAACTGTGGTTGGAGTCCTGGACCTGGCAGCTTGCTTTCTTACTTTCCCTGTCTCTTTCTGGTCAAATTAGAAAATAATAATAAGATTAAATAAATAATTCTTTAAAAAATGAACTTCTACTTTAGTAATAAATATTTAAAACTAAATGTTTTAGTTGCATTAATCAAAAATGTATTTCAAAAACTGGAATAAACAAACAACGAAAGGAAATCCTATTCTTAGGTGCCACTTAAAAATAAGTTTTTCTTCATATTCAAATAAAAGTAACTTTCCAGATAACTAAGGTGCCAAGTCTTTATTTAAACCATTTCTTATTGAAATAAGTTTGGGGGTCAGCAGGAGGTGGGGTGGTTAAAGGAGCTGGACTCCTACATGGTCAACTGCAGTTCGAGTCCCAGAATTGGTGGCTTTCTTTCTCGCTTTACCTTTCTCTCTTTCTCTGTTTCTATCTGGTCAAATTAAAAAGTAAAAAATGGATTAAATAAATCATTCTTTAAAATATGTTTGTCGGGACCTGACACAAAAGGAGGTGGTCAGTAATGATTTTGTGAATGACAGTGCATTGAATGCTCCCAGGGCTTTTTTTTTTTTTTTTTTTTTTTTTTTTAAATTTTTTTTTTTAATTATTTATTCATTCATTTATTTTAATTTGACCAGAGAGAGACACAGAGAAAGAAAGAGACGGAAAGTGAGAAAGCAAGCCACCAGATCCAGGTCTCAAACCATGGTCGGCCATGTGAGAGTGTCTAGGGCCTTAACCACCATGACACCTATTGGTCCCCATTCCCAGGACTTTTCAAACAATACATTATTTAATTTGTTCTCAGTGACTCAAAGTCAGCATTATAACCTTTTTTCCCCCTTCAATTTGTCAGAGGGCACCTAGTGCACTCTCAGGAGGAGAGTGAGAAAGCACCCTCACAGGCATGGTCGCACTACGGTCCATGCTCCACCTCTCCCTCCTTCTGGATTTTGGGCACACACACACATGCACACTTGGCAAGTTTCTCAAGCCACTGAGTCCAGGATATGAACCGCACAGTCGGCCACGTGAGATCCACCTGCCTCAACCACAGTGCCACGGGCCAGCCTGGTCTTTCATCACTAATCTGTTTTGTGGTGGTTTTCTTGTCTCTTCCTTGTCAGCCTTTGTTCAGGATGGCTCTTCCTTTTGTAATTTGCTGCTTTTAATCTATAAACAACTTGATTCAAGCTTCATGTGGATGTTTTATTAAATAAATAAGAGTTATTTCAAGTGAGCTGTGAACTTCACGCTTCTTTTGGATGCTGTGTGTTTTGGCTAATTTAGCCATTCTGAGGGGTTTTTGGGTTTTTTTTTTTTTTTTTTTTTTTTTTTTTCCTTAACTCTAGATTTGAGGTTGCGTTCTAGGCCTAGAGATTACTAGAAGCCTAACTGGAGTTCTGGGCGATGGGTAGGGAGGTCATTGATCTATATTGTCTTTGCCCTTTGGGTGCTCTCTACTCACGAGTGAAGGTAGCAGGGATAGGGAAAGGGAAATGGAGACTGATGAGTTTTTCTTTTGTTTTTTTATAACTTAATTTGAAAATCAGCAGTTAGTGTTCATCCACATTGACTGTAGATTTTTGAAAGTGGTAACAGGTAGGTCACCTGAGTGTAGAGCTTGCTGGCTGAGTCTTCATCCTCATTTCCTTTTCTGGACGACCGCACACGGAGACGATGTGGACTTTCCTCTCTCCTCTGGCCCAGATGGCTTTGTTGAGCCTGGTATCAGTGCATACATCTGGAGTCCCCATCTCCGTGGTGAATTTCTGGGTTTCTGTGAGTGCCCGAGGGGCAAGGGGCATGTTTGTTTTCTTTTTTTTTTTTTTTTTTTGAGAGTTTTTTTTCTATAGGGTGTGTGCGCTCACCAGCCAGACAGAAAGCAAGAAATCATCTCCCGGGGGGATGGCCATGCCACAATCCCTTCTCCTCCATTGTCCTCTCGGGATCTTGGGCACGCACACACACGCACCCAGGGTATGTTTAAGTCACTGGGTCTGGTACTCAAACTGGGATCGACTACATGGGAGTTCAGCGACATAGCCATTATGCTAACTGCTGGTCCCGGGGCATGGTTCTTGATGCCCATGCCATGGATGCGCTTGTGAACATTGATGGTGTATTCCCGGGTCACCACCTCGGTGATGGCAGAATGACCCATCTTCTTACCAGTCTTTGCAGGAGCCATTCTGCCTGGCCTAAGTTGGAAAGAAAAGAGACTGATGAATTTTTGACACCGTTAAACTTTATTCCATGAGCCGCATTTCATTTTAATATGTGTCAGTGTGGTATAAGGAGAAAGATTTCATTCTAATCCTCATTCTACTATTGCTTTTCACTGGCTGGTTGGACAGATCTTTCTTAAAGCTTTCAGGGTTGGTTTTCTCTTTTATCATAGAGGGGTCATTATTTTGCCCACCCTCCCAAGGTGATGATGGTGTCAGAATGACGCAGCACTGTGAAAACCTTTAGAGTGGCAAAGTGCTACGTGTTCTCTTTCCTATTAGTATTTTAGCTGTACCTGTAAAGGCTGTTCTTTTACTGAATATAGTGCTTTGTTATTTTTTGAGAGAGGGATTTTTGCTATAGGGCATGTGCATGTACCAGAGAGACCAAGAGAAATCACCCTCTGGGGGAATAACCACACTGTGGTCCGTCCTCCTCCATTCTCCTCTTGAGATCTTGGACACACATGCACATGCATCTGGTGTGAATTTTAAGTTACTGGGTCTGGGACTCAAACTGCAGTCAGTTACAGGGGGAGTCCAGCAACGTAACCGTCACAGTTGGTCCCATGAATGTAGTGTTATTAATGTGACTTTCTTCCTGAGCAACTTGTTCTGTGTATTTGTGCAGGCAAAAACAGCTGGAAGATATCCTGGTTCTGGCCAAACAGTTCCACGAGACAACCGAGCCTATTTCTGACTTCTTATCCGTCACAGAGAAAAAGCTTGCTAACTCAGAGCCCGTCGGCACACAGACCGCCAAAATACAGCAGCAGATCGTTCGGCACAAGGTAGGACGCAGCCGTGGGCAATGGAGACACGGAACTGGAGTTAGACCTACTAGGAATTAGAAAACCGCCTGCAGCATTCTAGATGTGTTTTGTGGCTTTTTTTTTGTCTTGCCGAGTTTGACTTAAAATATGGTCATTTAATCCATTGAAAAAGCCATATCCTTGAAGTAAAAATAGAAATTGACTAATAGGCTACCATTAGAGAAAACAGCTGTTGTTCCCAATCTTGATATTATTTTTGCCTTTCTGTAGGTGAATTTTTTCATTATTTAACTTTTATGTCATTTGTTACTCATTGTTTCGTGTTTACTTTTCATTTATTTTGTTTCTGTTGTTCATTTTTTCCATCTGGATTTCCAGGCTCTGGAGGAAGAAATAGAAAACCATGCAGCAGATGTGGACCAGGCAGTCAGAATTGGGCAGTCCCTCTCCTCCCTGACATGTTCTGCAGAGCAGAGTGTGCTGTCAGAAAAGCTAGACGCCTTGCAGGCCCGATACAGTGAGATTCAAGACCGGTGCTGTCGGAAAGCAGCCCTGCTTGAACAAGCACTGTCTGACGCTAGGCTGTTCGGGGAGGAGGAGGTGGAGGTGCTCAACTGGCTGGCCGAGGTTGAGGACAAGCTCAGTTCAGTGTTCGTAAAGGATTACAAGCAGGATGTCCTGCAGAGACAGCATGCTGGCCACCTGGTATTCATGTTTTCCATTCTTACTGGTTATGTTACTAAGTTATTTTGTTGTTTTGATTTATGTTTCTCTTCATTTCTTTCTCTTCTTTTTTTCCCCCCCTTCATTCTAAACACTTCAACTTTATTTTGTCCATAAGTACAGAGTTTAGACTTGGTGCTCAGCTCTAATCTATTTTATTTCTACTCCACGGAAATGCATGTGGTTCTTTTAGAGAGATTTTTTGCTATAGGCCACATATGCTCACTGGGGAGACCAAGAGATAGAGAGAAATCATCCACCCGGAGGGAATGGCCATGCTGCAATCCCTTCTCCATTCTTCTCACAAGATCTTGGGCACGCACGCACATACGCCCAGTGTGATTTTGAAGCCATCTGGTCCAGGACTCAAACTGTAGTCAGCCATGTGGGAGTCCAGCAACACACCCTCTATGCCATCCGCTGGTCCCAGAGCTGGTTGGACAGATCTTTCTTAAAGCTTTCAGGGTTGGTTTTCTCTTTTATCATAGAGGGGTCATTATTTTGCCCACCCTCCCAAGGTGATGATGGTGTCAGAATGACGCAGCACTGTGAAAACCTTTAGAGTGGCAAAGTGCTACGTGTTCTCTTTCCTATTAGTATTTTAGCTGTACCTGTAAAGGCTGTTCTTTTACTGAATATAGTGCTTTGTTATTTTTTGAGAGAGGGATTTTTGCTATAGGGCATGTGCATGTACCAGAGAGACCAAGAGAAATCACCCTCTGGGGGAATAACCACACTGTGGTCCGTCCTCCTCCATTCTCCTCTTGAGATCTTGGACACACATGCACATGCATCTGGTGTGAATTTTAAGTTACTGGGTCTGGGACTCAAACTGCAGTCAGTTACAGGGGGAGTCCAGCAACGTAACCGTCACAGTTGGTCCCATGAATGTAGTGTTATTAATGTGACTTTCTTCCTGAGCAACTTGTTCTGTGTATTTGTGCAGGCAAAAACAGCTGGAAGATATCCTGGTTCTGGCCAAACAGTTCCACGAGACAACCGAGCCTATTTCTGACTTCTTATCCGTCACAGAGAAAAAGCTTGCTAACTCAGAGCCCGTCGGCACACAGACCGCCAAAATACAGCAGCAGATCGTTCGGCACAAGGTAGGACGCAGCCGTGGGCAATGGAGACACGGAACTGGAGTTAGACCTACTAGGAATTAGAAAACCGCCTGCAGCATTCTAGATGTGTTTTGTGGCTTTTTTTTTGTCTTGCCGAGTTTGACTTAAAATATGGTCATTTAATCCATTGAAAAAGCCATATCCTTGAAGTAAAAATAGAAATTGACTAATAGGCTACCATTAGAGAAAACAGCTGTTGTTCCCAATCTTGATATTATTTTTGCCTTTCTGTAGGTGAATTTTTTCATTATTTAACTTTTATGTCATTTGTTACTCATTGTTTCGTGTTTACTTTTCATTTATTTTGTTTCTGTTGTTCATTTTTTCCATCTGGATTTCCAGGCTCTGGAGGAAGAAATAGAAAACCATGCAGCAGATGTGGACCAGGCAGTCAGAATTGGGCAGTCCCTCTCCTCCCTGACATGTTCTGCAGAGCAGAGTGTGCTGTCAGAAAAGCTAGACGCCTTGCAGGCCCGATACAGTGAGATTCAAGACCGGTGCTGTCGGAAAGCAGCCCTGCTTGAACAAGCACTGTCTGACGCTAGGCTGTTCGGGGAGGAGGAGGTGGAGGTGCTCAACTGGCTGGCCGAGGTTGAGGACAAGCTCAGTTCAGTGTTCGTAAAGGATTACAAGCAGGATGTCCTGCAGAGACAGCATGCTGGCCACCTGGTATTCATGTTTTCCATTCTTACTGGTTATGTTACTAAGTTATTTTGTCGTTTTGATTTATGTTTCTCTTCATTTCTTTCTCTTCTTTTTTTCCCCCCCTTCATTCTAAACACTTCAACTTTATTTTGTCCATAAGTACAGAGTTTAGACTTGGTGCTCAGCTCTAATCTATTTTATTTCTACTCCACGGAAATGCATGTGGTTCTTTTAGAGAGATTTTTTGCTATAGGCCACATATGCTCACTGGGGAGACCAAGAGATAGAGAGAAATCATCCACCCGGAGGGAATGGCCATGCTGCAATCCCTTCTCCATTCTTCTCACAAGATCTTGGGCACGCACGCACATACGCCCAGTGTGATTTTGAAGCCATCTGGTCCAGGACTCAAACTGTAGTCAGCCATGTGGGAGTCCAGCAACACACCCTCTATGCCATCCGCTGGTCCCAGAAATGCATGTTTTTAACAAACCCAATCAGTAGTTCTAGAAGATAGTACAGACTATGGTCAGGGACCATCTCAGCTCCAACTTGCAGTTTACGTCCTAGGTAAGGGACCGCTAGTTTTCCATTTGAGTGGTTTTATGACAAAGTGTGCTTTAACAAGACCAGATATATCTAAATAGTGCCAGGATTGTATCACGTAGTTGTAACTTTTAGAATACTTCTGGAACTGACATGCCCACGTTCCACAGATTCTGTGTCATTATAGTAGAAAGAAAAGTTTGTCTTTTTCATTCCATTTTTAAGAAATCTCTTTGGGGGGGGTGATAGAAAATTGGCAAAGCAATGTCTCTTCAATAGTTTTAAGGTTCTTTTGCTTCATCAACTTCAAATGGAAAAAGTTTTAACCAGAATTCTGACTAAAGTCAGTCTATTTTTGCTGACCTTGTTCTAACTTTTTCTCAATTTCTTTATTTTGGATATGGTAGACATTTTTGGTGAATCCTGCTTCTCTCGGGTTTGGGTTTGGGTTTGGGTTTGGTAACCGTACATTGGCAGAGCTGATGTAATCCTAGATCTCTTCTCAGACAGCACAGAGGGAAGCTTGACTCTAAGTAACTGATTTCATCATTCTCAGTAATCGATGGGACAACCACAGAGGCAATGAGGGAATCATATCTGAGTTTTTACTGAACTGATACTCATCTCTTTCCTTTAAATTTGCTCTCTTAAAGATCTCACATTTCTTTCCTTTTGTCAAACCACAGTTTGGGGATTAATGGTATTTTTTTCCTTTCAGGCTTTAAATGAAGAGATTGTTAATAGAAAAAAGAATGTAGATCAAGCTATTAAAAATGGCCAGGCTCTTCTGAAACAAACCACAGGTACTTTGAGAAGTGCATCTCGTAGCCCCTCTACGGTTTCAAAGATAACCACGTATGCAGGGGAGAAACACCCTTCCTTAGCCCCTTCTCCTCGTATCTGTGAGAAGCTTAGTTTAAAAACTGAAAGATTTCGTTATGTCACATCCGGGTATAGACCGCGATTCCTCCTGCCCTCCAGTCCAGCATTCACCGACAGGTCCTTACCCTTAGTGCGGGATTTTAGGCGAAGTCACTACCATGGGGAAAGAGCATTTATAAAATTTAAGCTCCGATTCGAAGAACGAGTGGTTGGAGGGACCCCTCATTCCCTGGTCTCTTAAACGTGAGTAACTGTGTGCTGTCTGGCTCAGGTGAAGAGGTGTTACTCATCCAGGAGAAACTGGACGGCATAAAGACGCGCTACGCAGACATCACAGTCACCAGCTCCAAGGCCCTCAGGACTTTAGAGCAAGCCCGGCAGCTGGCCACCAAGTTCCAGTCCACGTATGAGGAGCTCACCGGGTGGCTGAGGGAGGTGGAGGAGGAGCTGGCAGCCAGCGGAGGACAGTCTCCCACAGGGGAGCAGATACCCCAGTTTCAGCAAAGACAGAAGGTGAGCTGTTGTCTTATTTTTGTAAAAGGAGAGAATGGTTTCCTCTTTATTAGAATCCTTAACCTTGAATCTAAACCAAAAATTGCTCTGTGCCTCCTTTCCTTACGTGGACAGCAAGATTTGAATTAAAGACGTATGTGAGAGTCCGTGGTAATGGCTTGAAGAAGAGAGAAATGGAATCCTCACTGTCCAGGAAGACTACTTCATACATAACCCTTTATAATTTACTTTCGTGCTTCATTCTGTAAGAGTGCTTTACGGTTGCATTTGACTGCCCCGCAGGATGTAGTGCAGCTTTACGTGGCACGTACACCGTGTGGTTCAGCGCCTATGGTTAAAGCAGTATTTTTCATTTCATTTGCATATAGAAGTAAGGAAAAAAAAAAAGATTGTACTATTGTTTTACCTAGAGACAGTCTGACTTAGGAAGTCTCGCAGACAGTTCTTAGTAAGCCACAACTAAACCTAGAGTCGGGCTTCAGAATGATTGAAAAATCTAAGACAAGAAAAAAATAACCGAAGGAAGGAGGTCAGTGCCTGCTGGGATGTGTGGTAGAGAGAGCACTCTCCACCCAGCACAGCGGCTCGGTGCTTTATTTAGCAAGTTGTGGCCTGAAACCTTTTTTCCCTCCTTAGGAGTTAAAGAAGGAGGTCATGGAGCACAGGCTGGTGTTGGACACTGTGAATGAGGTGAGCCACGCTCTCTTAGAGCTGGTGCCCTGGAGAGCCAGAGAAGGGCTGGACAAACTTGTGTCTGATGCCAACGAGCAGTACAAACTGGTCAGTGACACTGTTGGACAAAGGGTGGATGAAATTGATGCTGCTATTCAGAGATCACAGCAGGTAATGTCTGTAATACCTCCGCGATGATATTTTAGGTAATGGGGGTAGATGCGTGAGATGGAGTACGTACGGTCCACATGAATACAGGCTCAGGAATAAGAATAAGGTCACGGCAAACTGGATGCAACGAACATACTTCAGTGATGGGAAATGATTGGGTAGAGGCTTGTGAGGTTAGATCCTGGTTTGGCCCAAAATACTGACCCCCTGAACAGAACTGTAGAGAAGAGACTGTGTGAGTTTTTTCCTCAGCTAACGCCCTGCTAAGCAGGTCAGGATGATTAAAGTACATAGTATCTACACCCAAAGGGTTCAAATGCAAGCAGTTTAGTTGGACATAATCAACTGTCTTAGCACTGCAAGAGGGGAAGGAACCAAGAACTATAATTACTATCAAATATGCAAACCAAAATAGCGGAACCATTTAAAATAGATCCCTCTCAGTAAACACAGGTGTCATATTTCCCTTGATCTCTTTTCCTTCCTGCTTTCTGGAAAAAAGTTATGTAGCTGGATATGTACCTGTTAATGTCCTGTGCATAAAATACACACACGCTTGCGTGCACATGTGTGTATGACCTGATCCCTTCGGTTCATAACAATGAACATGCCTCCTGAATCACACAGGTTTTTGCTCTGACTCCGTATTGTTTTTTTAGTTCTGTTCCTAGCCTTGGCTGGATGGTTCAATAGGAAACGTCCATGTTCGCAAGAAGCTTACTTTTCTCTTTAAGTATTAGATAATGGGCTGGCTCTGTGATACACCAGAAATGCACTGCTCACAGGAAGCTGGGTCTCATATGGCAACCGCATGTCAAATACCCAGCCTGGTCAGCCTCAAACACCCTGAACATGCAAACATGTGCCCCAAACCTGACTGCTTGGAGGACCGGAAGAAGGGGATCACAGTGTGACCAGACCCTTGGGAGGGTGCTCTTCTCTCATGCATGCACGTGCATTTTCTCATGAATAAAGACAGCACGCTGGGTTTTTTTAGAGAGATTTTTGCACTCACCAGAGAGACAGACAGACAAAATGAGAAATCACACCTCCCTAGGGGAATGACCACACCACAATCCATTCTCTTCCATTCTCTAAAGATTTTAGGCATGCACGCATACACACCCAATGTGAGTTTAAGCCGCCGAGTACAGGACGTGAACTGTGGTCAGCCATGTAGGAGTCCAACAACGTAACCATTACACCGCTGGCTGGTCCCAAGACAGCAATTAAAAAAAGAAAAAAAAAAGGCATAGGTTGGCAAAAGACAAGAGGAAGAGAGAAAAGATTGAGGGACCTTCATGAAACAGCAGACATTTAGGTTTTTGGATTTTGTTATTACATAACCATTTAAAGGCTTGGTGTTCTGGGCTCTTAAGCATCTTCAGCTGAGCAGGTACTTCCAGGTTAACTTGACTCAGCTGTCTGGGGCCATGCGAGGCTTATATTTAAAGATCTCTGTTTAGTGTCTGGGCAGGAAAAGAGGATTGGCCCTGAGCGGCCTCATGAAAGCTCTCTGGTTAGAAGTATATTTCTTTTGAAGGAAGTCAGTTTCTACTTGTTTCTAACTATGGGACCACTAACTGGTTCTGTAACCTCTTTCAAAGAATGTGAAATACCAATTTTAACTTGTTTACTTTTTGTGAATTGCCAGTGGGCACATAAGATCACCAGAGAGAGAGGAAGCGAGGGAAAGCACCCCCAACCTGGGCCAGGGTCATGCCACGATCTACTTTCCTCCATTTCTCCACCCCGTTAGGGTTTGGGGCTTGCCTGCACACATACCTGGTGTGTTTTTCAAGCCACTGGTATTGGGATTCGAACCTCAGTTGGCCTTGTGGGATCCAACTTTTTAAGCTCAACATTTGATTGCTGTGCTACAAGGGCCAGCTCACTTGTTTGCATCTCAATTTGTGTTGATAACATCTTCCCCAGTTTTGATTTTACTTGGTGGAAAACAAACTACATTTCTGAAGATCCAAGCTTTCTGGTTTGAATAAATTATAGTTGTAAAAAGTAGCCCTTAGCTGTATATAATTTTAAGTTTTTCTTTAATATGTTTATTAGTATGAGCAAGCTGCTGTCAAATACCCAGCCTGGTCAGCCTCAAACACCCTGAACATGCAAACATGTGCCCCAAACCTGACTGCTTGGAGGACCGGAAGAAGGGGATCACAGTGTGACCAGACCCTTGGGAGGGTGCTCTTCTCTCATGCATGCACGTGCATTTTCTCATGAATAAAGACAGCACGCTGGGTTTTTTTAGAGAGATTTTTGCACTCACCAGAGAGACAGACAGACAAAATGAGAAATCACACCTCCCTAGGGGAATGACCACACCACAATCCATTCTCTTCCATTCTCTAAAGATTTTAGGCATGCACGCATACACACCCAATGTGAGTTTAAGCCGCCGAGTACAGGACGTGAACTGTGGTCAGCCATGTAGGAGTCCAACAACGTAACCATTACACCGCTGGCTGGTCCCAAGACAGCAATTAAAAAAAGAAAAAAAAAAGGCATAGGTTGGCAAAAGACAAGAGGAAGAGAGAAAAGATTGAGGGACCTTCATGAAACAGCAGACATTTAGGTTTTTGGATTTTGTTATTACATAACCATTTAAAGGCTTGGTGTTCTGGGCTCTTAAGCATCTTCAGCTGAGCAGGTACTTCCAGGTTAACTTGACTCAGCTGTCTGGGGCCATGCGAGGCTTATATTTAAAGATCTCTGTTTAGTGTCTGGGCAGGAAAAGAGGATTGGCCCTGAGCGGCCTCATGAAAGCTCTCTGGTTAGAAGTATATTTCTTTTGAAGGAAGTCAGTTTCTACTTGTTTCTAACTATGGGACCACTAACTGGTTCTGTAACCTCTTTCAAAGAATGTGAAATACCAATTTTAACTTGTTTACTTTTTGTGAATTGCCAGTGGGCACATAAGATCACCAGAGAGAGAGGAAGCGAGGGAAAGCACCCCCAACCTGGGCCAGGGTCATGCCACGATCTACTTTCCTCCATTTCTCCACCCCGTTAGGGTTTGGGGCTTGCCTGCACACATACCTGGTGTGTTTTTCAAGCCACTGGTATTGGGATTCGAACCTCAGTTGGCCTTGTGGGATCCAACTTTTTAAGCTCAACATTTGATTGCTGTGCTACAAGGGCCAGCTCACTTGTTTGCATCTCAATTTGTGTTGATAACATCTTCCCCAGTTTTGATTTTACTTGGTGGAAAACAAACTACATTTCTGAAGATCCAAGCTTTCTGGTTTGAATAAATTATAGTTGTAAAAAGTAGCCCTTAGCTGTATATAATTTTAAGTTTTTCTTTAATATGTTTATTAGTATGAGCAAGCTGCTGATGCAGAACTAGCTTGGGTCGCTGAAACAAAACGGAAGCTGATGGCCCTGGGTCCGATTCGCCTGGAACAGGACCAGACCACAGCTCAGCTGCAGGTGCAGAAGGTAAGCATAGCCCCGATGCGCCCTGCTATGTCCAGAGCTGGGGGAGTCATCAGTAGCTTAGTGTGACCAGAAGACTATTTCTTATCCCAAGTGGAAGGATTTAATGTCATGATAGTAAATAGAGATTAATTTTAAGTATACTCGGCTGGAGTGAAGAAGAGATTTTTTTGCTTTGTGAAAAAGTTAAAATAGGCCCATTAATCTAGGAAAGAATGGTTAGCAATTTATTGGATGATATTTAGGAGGGAAGATATTTTTGTTAGCTACTAAAAGATAAGCATTGGAAAAAAACAAGGAAAAGAAATAAACATTAAAGATGTTGGGTAAACAAAGTGTCAAACTTAGAACCATTTTTGATGTGGCTTTATGGCAAGGAATTTCTCATAGCTTGCGTCTTTCACTAGTCCGGGCCTAGGAGCCTTTTACTTCTTGACTTCAGTACAGTTTACTTTTCAAAGGCTTTCTCCATCGATATCATTCGACACAAAGATTCAATGGATGAACTCTTCAGTCACCGGGGGGACATCTTTGGCACATGTGGAGAGGAGCAGAAAGCTGTATTACAGGTGAATTACAGTCATCTCTTACCGTATCCTTCTTGCCTTCATCATGGTGAATTAGAAGTGCAGTTGTGAAATGATGATGGAAAACCTTAAACCTTTTTCTTCCTTGACTTTCTTGTTTACCGATTATTACTAAAGCCCAACTTGATATTCTGACTCCTGACCCTGCATTCACAAATGTCTAAACAGCTGTACTATATCATGTGAAATACACATTAGAACAGAGGGTTTGCTCCTTATTCTTGGTCCATAGGCAGGGAGCTTTGAATTACTTGGCAAGTTTTTATGGCAGTTTTTTCAGAAGATGTTAATTTCTTTTTTGGGTACTTCTAAAAGTTTATATCCCCCCCTTTTTTTATTTTAAATTTTATGCCAGAGAGTGTGTGTGTATCTTAGAGAGAAATTACCCACCCGTACGCACCCCGTGGCCACACTGCAACCCTTTTCCTCATTCCTCCTCCTCACTGGGATTTTGGGCACAGGTGCCCAGCGTGGCTGGGATTCGACTGCGGTTATCCATGCGGGATCCTGCGCCCTGTGCACGGGGCTTCATCCTACGCTACAGGACTGGCCCCTGGACACCCACCTTTAAAAGGATTGGCCAAGAGAGTTCATCTGTAGGCCAGTTTGGTTTGTTTTTATAAAGAGTGTGATTAACCACCATTTCCTCAGAAATCTTCATAAGTGGACTGAGCTACTCATCCTAAATATTGGAAACATTAATGCCAGGTTTCTGAAGATTTTTTTTTTTTTATCAGAGGAAGGAAAGAAATAGAACTTGATAGCAAAGACGTCATCATAGTCCCTGAGATGAGGTCCCCCCCACCCTGTTTTTGCTATAGGGCACACAAGCTCACTAGCGAGAAACAGAGTGCACGAGGGGAGTGAGAAGTCAACCCCCAGGGAGGATAGCCACTCCACGATCACTCTCCTCCATTCTCCTCTGAGATTTGGGGCATGAACATATGCGCACCCAGAGTGGTTTTCTTTCCTTTTTCTTTTCTTTTTTTTTTTAAGAATTATTTTATTTAAGGCTGGCAAGTGGCGTGGTGGTTAAGGCACTGAACTCCCATGTGGCCGGCTGTGGGTCCTAGTCCTGGACCTGGCAGCTTGCCTTCTCACTTTCCCTCTCTCTCTCTCACTCTGTCCCTCTTTGGTCAAATTTGAATAAATAAATAAAGTTATATAAAATAATTCTTTTTTAAAAAGAATTTTAAAAGAATCTTTAAAGACTCGGACCCACAGTCGGCCATGTGGGAGTCCAGCACCGTTAACCACCATGCCACCTGCCTGCCCCAATCACTGTGCAATTACAGTGCACAACCTGGTATTTCCCAGCATTAATACAGTGTGTCTTAGCCAAGTCACATCTGTAGACTTTTTACACACACACACACACACACACACACACACACACTTTCATAGAAGGGTTCATAGTAGTAACACGTACACTGTTTGCTCGTTCGCTCACAGGAAAAGACGGAGTCTCTGGTACAGCAATACGAGGCCGTCAGCCTACTCAACTCAGAGCGGTATGCCCGCTTGGAGCGGGCCCAGGTCTTGGTGAACCAGTTCTGGGAAACTTACGAAGAGCTCAGCCCGTGGCTTGAGGAGACTCGGGCACTGATAGCCCAGTTACCGCCTCCCGCCGTCGATCACGAGCAGCTCAGGCAGCAGCAGGAGGAAATGAGGGTGAGGAGCAGGCCACGTTTTATTTTACTGCGAGACTAAAACTGGCGCCATAATTTACTGAAAGCACGATTTAGTGCCTACTGGGTGCAAGTTCCACGTTAGGAACATCACCCTAATTCTTAGGATTTCCTTGCACAGTGAAAATGCTTATCTGAAGTATTCCCTTCATTGTTTAATATGAACCAGTTAAAGAATAAAATGATGGGGATATTGAGAGCCTAGGTACTACAGAGGTAAAGAAAGAACTAACTAAAAATCAAGGGTATTGAAAACATTTCCAGGGACACTGGGTTTGTTAGACTGAAGGCGTGGCCTACCACCATTCCCACTTGGGTAGGCCCTGGCCAGAGGGAGCCCTGTGAAGGAATGTCAGAAAACATTCGCTGCATGTGGTTAAGATGAGGGGGAAACTTGCAAGTATTTGAACTAATGCTGTTACCATTAAGACTCTTACTTTCATGCTTGTTTTATTTCTGGTTTATGGCTTCTGCTGTTTTGCGTTCCTATATTCCTGTAAGTAATGGGCTGTAAACTGGAAGTAGACGCTAGTGAAGTCAAGGAGTCACCAGATACATCGCTGTTCATAGCTTACCCTGCTCAGCATCTCGCCCTGGGGAGGCAGACAAATCCCAAGGCGTCAGCCCAAGATTCAGGTGTTGAGATTTCTGTCCCCCCACAAATGGTGCAATCCTGGGACTGGCTTTATCCATGATAGAGCATGTGTGCGCCCATGTCAGAGGGGGAGAGAGTGATGAGCACCCCCACAGTCTGGCCATGCTGCTACCCCTTCCTCCAGGCCTCCAGCTGGTCGGATCTCGGGCACGTGCGCCTGTTCCTGGCACATTTCAGGCTGACCAGGCGAGGGATTCAAACCAGTTGCCACATGGGATCCATTTTCTCTTGAGTAGTTCTTTACAGTTATACCACAGAGCCCACCTGACTTGCTGGTTTTTAACAATTCAGTTTATTCCTCATAGAACAGGTATTAGCTCTGAACAAAATACCTAAACATATTGGCATAACAATGCTCCTTATGTTTTATTCTGTAATTCTTTACATAGCAATTAAGGGAATCCATTGCTGAACACAAACCTCATATTGATAAGCTACTAAAGATAGGCCCACAGCTAAAGGAGTTAAACCCTGAGGAAGGAGAAATGGTGGAAGAAAAATACCAGAAAGCAGAAAACACATATGCCCAAATAAAGGAGGAGGTGCGTCAGCGGGCCCTGGCTCTGGACGAGGCCGTCTCCCAGTCTGCCCAGGTACGTGTGTCTCCCACCCGTGTAACTCCGTCTGCCCGTTAATCCTAACAGACAGTGGTCCCTGTATCAGGCATGCCTCTGTGCTCGGAAGTGACCAGAACAGCTGTTGGTAACACACTATCTGTAGAGGAGGAAGCTTTGCCAATCTGCATTTTTATTCCGAGAAACATTGATAAACTGACACTGTGAGAGGGTACAATGCATCTTGGCTGAAACATATTTTCTGTTGATGGTTTCCCTGAAAACGTGTTCGATGATCCTTTACCAGCAATGATTTGGGGTAAATTTATCTTGCAGATTTAAAAGCAACGCCTGCCTCAACAGGTCAGGTTTATCTTACTGAGCCCGTTACTTTGAGGCTGAGCGTGATAGCATATCACTTGGAATACCCAGGAGGCCACCAGCTATTGAGTAGTTTCTAGTTCAGAGATGCTTGAGCAGGGAGAAGAGAGAGCCAGAGGGCAGCAGAAAGCACCAGCAGTGGAGTTGACAGCATGTAACTACATACTTCTCAACTAATATATTCCCGTTAGTGGCACTTGCGTCGTGTCTGGGTATTTTATTCCTATGTGTTGTCAGTATTCCTGGTTAATATTTGTACTTACTCAAGTTTCTCCCCCACCTCCCGTCCCATCTCTCACTCACATTGTGGAATGTGTTACTGTGTGTTGTCGCTGCCTGCTCCTGTCCTCCCCACATCGTCACATTTCATTGTTGTGTTGACCGCGCCCACCATTGCAGATCACAGAGGTAAGGTCCCCACCCCCGCTGGGATTAGGGTGTTATGGAGCTGGAAGTGGCGGGCTTTATCCATCAGGAATTTTCCTGTACCTTTAGTGGACTGGATCTGACTAGTGTGGTTTATAGTGCCAGTTTCACTGGGGGTGGAACACGGAAATGAGGAAGTGATGGGAAGTGATTTTGATAAGAAAATCCCACCACGGTTTTTTGTTTTAATAGGACACTTAAAATTGGTAAGCTTCACTTGAATTAATGAGTCCACAGTGGGATTTAAGTAGCTTTTTTAGGAAGTCTATTCATTTATTTTGTTCCCTTTGCATCAGGTGATCAGTGAGAATTTTACCACTGTAGTCATGTTACTCAAAGTGCCAGCAAAGTTGGAAGGTTAATGGTTCTTTAAGAATAAAGTTAGCTTTGGCCTTCCTTAGTTACCTTTCATCATGCCAACATTTACCTTTTTGTGTTCCATATGGCGGGTTGGGTCGTTAAATTGCATGCCAGGTCTTGTGGCATATTAAGTTCCCCACCCGTTTATGCAGCTGGTGGAGGGCAGCTAACTTCTCGGTCTGATTTGTTGCATGCAACTGTCATCTGAGATGTTGACACACTGACTCTCACCAGTTTCATGGTCTTGTCCCTTTCTCGTCACATCAGTCGAAATAGGAGAAAATACTGTGGCAGCACTAATGATTTGAGTTGGTTTCTAATATATTATTATCCTTTGATTCTTAAAATAAATCTTGTCATTTTTTGGTGTGATGGGCAGCTCTGATATACTGTGCCCAAAACAGTGTCTTATCCAAGCCCAACATTTAACGTCACTGGGTGAGGTGAGCTCAGGGCGCCCTGTGCCGTAGTGGCTTTCAGTCTTGTCCCCACTCCCTAGCGTTCCCCCGAGAAGTGCGGTGAGTATTATGGTGATGGCTCACATTCCACCCTTTGTTTAGTTCCACGATAAAATCGAGCCTATGTTGGAGACTCTGGAGAACCTGTCCTCTCGCCTGCGAATGCCCCCCCTAATTCCTGCCGAAGTAGACAAGATCAGAGAGTGCATCGGCGACAATAAGAGTGCCGCCGTGGAGCTCGAAAAGCTGCAGCCGTCCTTCGAGGCCCTGAAGCGCCGTGGAGAAGAGCTCATTGGGAGATCTCAGGGAGCCGACAAGGATCTGGCTGCAAAAGGTACTCGGTGGACCTAGTTGTTTTTAAAGAAAATCAGTAGAATCGATTCCAAGCTGTGGCTATCTCCAGCATCCCACCAGATGCATTTCCTTGAATATAAAGACAGTTTCCAAGTAATGAGTATTCCAGAAAGTCATTTGGAAGTCATTTGTGATTCAGGACACATTTCCCCATTGAAACAAAGTTACAATTGCCAGTTAGATTCCCAGGCCAGGAAACAAATGCTCCTTTAACCCCTGATGTGAGCAAACTTGCAGTATCAATAGTGGCTAGAACATAACCATCTTTTATAACATTATCCATGGGAAGTGTACAACAAGTTCGACACAGAGCGGCGGAAATGGAGTTCTTATCTCAGCCCGTTTGTAACTTCGGGATTTGGGGTCCTGGCAGTACCTTTGTATTCGTGGACAGCTCCTTTCCAGGTTGCCTCTCTGATTCCCTTTGTGAGAGACCAACATAAGCAAAAAATGCTCATTTAAAAGTAATGATAATAAAGCTAAAGTAGAAAACTGTCCTTCAATTACAACTTTTTAGAGTGTTTAAGAAAGTTTGCTTGAAAGTATCGAATTAGATGGAATTTCCAATGAGACTGATTTCCAGTTCTGAGAGAGTTCTATTCACATCTTCCTCACCCCCCCCCACGCCACCCCCAGAAATCCAGGATAAATTGGACCAGATGGTATTCTTCTGGGAGGACATCAAAGCTCGGGCCGAAGAGCGAGAAATCAAATTCCTTGATGTCCTTGAGTTGGCAGAGAAGTTCTGGTATGACATGGCAGCCCTCCTGACCACCATCAAAGATACCCAGGATATCGTCCACGACTTGGAAAGCCCCGGCATCGACCCGTCCATCATTAAACAGCAGGTTGAAGCTGCTGAGGTGAGGAAAACTGAGACCCCTTCTCCTACACGTTTGACCTCCAAGAAACACTTTATCTACATGTGTTATGTTGCATTAACCCCTTTGTCAAGCTGAATGCCTTAAAATTTTGTTGTTTTATTAATTACTTGATTAATTGATTTTGGGGGTTCAATTGTGTTATGTGCCTGCAGTTGCTGAAAGGATGTGAGGAGAGTGAGAACTCACCCCTAGTGGGTGGTCACACTATAGTCTTTTCTCCATTCTCCTTTTAAGATTTTGGGTATACACACACACACACCTGGCAAGTTTTTCAAGCTGCAGGGTCCAGGACTCAAACCACACAGTCGGCCTAGTCAGCCTAGTCAGCCTAGTCAGCCACATGGGATCCAGCTGCCTTAACTACCATGCTGCTGACTGGCCCCTAAAGTACTTTTTTTTTTTTTTTAAGAATTACTTAATTTTATTTATTATTGTTACTTTTTAATTTGACCAGAGGAGTTGTATGAAGGGGGCATGAGAAAGCAAGCCACCAGGTCCGGGGTTGAACTGTAGTCAACCATGTGGAAGAGGAGCACCTTAACCACCATGCCACTTGCTGGCCCTTAAAGTACTTTTTTAAAGTTAAGACTTTTTCCACTTAAAAGAATACCTGCTTATGGGCCAGCACATGGTGTCATGGTTGGGGCACTGGACTCCCACATAGCTGAGTGTAATTTGCGTTCCAAACCTGGTGACTTGCTTTCTCACTTTCCCTTTCTCTCACTCTGTCTCTCTAATCAAATTTAAAAATAATTGGAACCAGCAGTTGGCATAATGGCTATATTTCTGGACTCCCATGTAGTCAACTGTGGTTCGAGTCCCGGCCCCAGCGGCTTTCGAGTACTTGTGGGCTCTGTGATGGAGAGGAGAATGGAGAAGGGACTGCAGCATGGCCATCCCCCTGGGGGGTGATTTCTCACTTTCTGTATCTCTATTTCTCTCTGTCTTTCTGGCACGCACACACACCCTGTAGCAAATACCTCTCAAACAAAAAAAAGTGAAAAAAAATAATGATAACAAATAAAATTAATTAAATAAAAGAATTATTTCAAAATCTGCTTGTTATAGTAAATTTCTTTACTGTAGAAAAATAGAAACAGAATCAATTCTGGACCCATCAGAGATAGCAATCATTATTTTGAAATACTTTTTCAAGTCTTTTTGAGGGGTCAAGTTCCAAAGATAGAGAAAGGAGGAGAAAGTATCCTCTGGTGAGATATGGTCACACTGCAGTCCCTTCTCCAGTTCTCCATCCTGTCAGGATTTGGGGCATGCATGCACATGCACCCAGCGTGATTTTCAAGCTGCCAGCTCTGGGGCTTGAGTCATGTGGTAGGCCATGTGGCATCCAGCTTCCTTAACCATTAGACCATGGACCAGCCTGGGTGTCTAGTTTTTACTAAATGCCTCTCTCAACCCCTTCTTGTTCGTTTATCGTAAGCCAACCTATCTTGGTATCACTTCTTTTATTTTAGCTATTTTTTCCTATAATTATTTATTTAATTTTATTCATTCATTTATTCATTTCTTTTAATTTGACCAGACACACACACACAGGGAAGGTGAGAAAGCAAACCACCAGGTCCAGGACTCAAACCATGGTCGGCCATATGGGAGTGTCCAGCGCCTTAACCCCCACACCACCTGCTGGTCCCTGTATTTTAGCTATTTCTTTGATACAGAAATTCTACCCCTTTCTACCTCTTTCAATGGCAGGTCATGTACAACTGTTAATGATCTAACACAGACCTGACCTTTTTCAAGATTATATAACTTACATTGCCTATTAAATTTGTGACATTTATTGTTATTTTACCCTTTTCGATATACTTCTTTGTAATAGATTTATGGCTATAAATTATAATCTCTTGGCATAAGGAAGGAATGAGCCTTTGGTAAATTATTGAAGTTGATTGTACCTTTCCCATACTTTCAAACATACATATATATGATACATATTTTTTGTTGTATGTATGTGGGAAATAGCCACTTAGAGTCTGAAGCTTCACCATCTACAGAAGTGAAATATTGAAAATATTGAAATGCTCATGTGAAATTGACAGTTCTGTTGAACATCTGCTATGGTGGGGGTCTAAATCACAGTTGCAAAGTTTGGAAAGCTCTTTTCTGATTTCTGTCTTGGCCTACATTCTGTTCATTTACACGCAGACCATTAAGGAGGAGACAGACGGTCTACACGAGGAGCTGGAGTTCATTCGCATCCTTGGAGCAGATTTGATTTTTGCCTGTGGAGAAACGGAGAAGCCCGAAGTGAAGAAGAGCATTGATGAGGTGTGGAGCGATGGATGAGGGATTGAGATGAGCATTAGTGGATGCAGGCTGAAGAGTGGCATCAACAGAGGAGTCTGATTCGTTGTTTTTTCCCCTAGATGAATAATGCTTGGGAGAATTTAAACAAGACCTGGAGAGAGAGGCTCGAAAAGCTGGAGGATGCCATGCAAGCCGCCGTGCAGTATCAGGACACACTGCAGGTGAGTGGCCAGGAGGTGGCCACCAGGGAACCACGGGTTCTGCCTTCTCTGTCATTTTCTGAATTCAGCACAAGAATGGGTCACTTTCACAGGCCTGTGACATTCACACAGCTTAAGTCGGTTTGTGTCTACATTTCTAGCCCAACTTTCCCACTCGTAGAAATATGCCAAAGTTCTTTCTTCCTGCCATTCTTATCATTGCATGCTTATCGCATTTCTACTCACTCAACTGGCCTTCCTCCGGAAGTCTCAGTTTGCTCAGGATTCCAAACCCAGGTCATCTTGAAGTGCAGCTTAGAATAGGAGTTTCAGGACATTATGAACTGTCCAGCTGGTGAAGAGAAATACTAACTTTCACTCGGGTTTATTATTTCCAGATCGTAGTTTGTTTTGGGCATCATCCTGATGATGTTGGCTCTATTCTTAAATCTGTAGTTCCACAATTAAGATCATTATCCATTACCTCTGCCCACTACCTAAAAGCACAAATGGCACCAGGTGCTTTGATTCATCCCTTCTTTTATTAGTAGGAAAAATGCTAATACTCTGATGATGCGTGTATTTTTATTTTTTCCTTTTTTGTTTTTTTTTTTTTTAGGCTATGTTTGACTGGCTTGATAACACTGTGATCAAACTCTGTACCATGCCCCCTGTTGGCACAGACCTCAACACTGTTAAAGATCAGTTAAATGAAATGAAGGTTTGTACATGGGGATGGCTTTAGAATAAGAGTTGTTTCTTTTTAGGTTTTAAAGGCTTGGCTTGATGTTGACCTTACGTATGTCTTTGGTAGGAGTTTAAAGTGGAAGTTTACCAACAGCAAATTGAGATGGAGAAGCTCAACCACCAGGGTGAGCTGATGTTAAAGAAAGCCACTGATGAGACAGACAGAGACATTATACGAGAGCCACTGACAGAGCTCAAACACCTCTGGGAGAACCTGGGCGAGAAGATTGCCCACAGACAGGTGAGCAGAGTGGAAGAGTGCGTAAGTAAACTATTACCTGCTCTCTCTTCTAATTTCCCAACTAACATCCCTTTTCTGTCTTTCTCTGAGTAGCATAAACTAGAAGGTGCTCTCTTGGCCCTTGGCCAATTCCAACATGCCTTAGAGGAATTGATGAGTTGGCTGACTCACACTGAGGAGCTGTTAGATGCTCAGAGACCAATAAGTGGAGACCCAAAAGTCATTGAAGTTGAGCTTGCAAAGCACCATGTAAGTATTTTCCTTTTTGACTCTTAACTCTGTACTAGTTTGAGAGCAGAATCCTCTCAATGTTATTCGTACTTTAGGGAGCCAGACTTGATGACATCCATAGAGATAAATTATGTTCAATATTTTTAGGTTCTGAAAAATGATGTTTTGGCTCATCAAGCCACAGTGGACACAGTCAACAAAGCAGGCAACGAGCTGCTTGAATCTAGTGCTGGAGATGACGCCAGCAGCCTACGGAGCCGTTTGGAAACTATGAACCAGTGCTGGGAGTCGGTGCTACAGAAAACAGAGGAGAGGGAGCAGCAGCTTCAGTCCACACTGCAGCAGGTGTGTGCGACATCTAGGTGGGAGAGAGGAGCTGGCAGGTAACAAGCACTCAGACAGAAAGCCTAAGCCAGAGAGAGGTCGGCCATTCGGGGTACAGCCGTCTGTGTCTTTAGAGTGAGGGCCATGCTGTGCTGAAACCAGTCTGGAAAAAATAGCTTTTGGTTGACTAGTTTGTTTTCAGATTAGTCTGTGGACCAGGCTCTTTATTTACTATTCAGAATTAGGAGCCTTTTCACTGTAACAAACCTTACTCACAGATTCACTTTTTTCTTAGATCAAATCAGGTTCTTCCTATTCCATGGTACCTTAGTCAATTAACAATTCTTCTCTCTTTTCTTTTCTTTTTTTTTTTTTAGAGGTTTTTTTGCTATAGGGCATGTGCGCTCACCAGAAAGACAGAGAGATAGAAATTCGAGAAATCACCCCCCCAGGGTGGATGGCCACACCGCAATCCCTTCTCCTCCATTCTCCTCTCGGGATCTTGGGCACACACACACACACGCGCCCAGCGTGAGTTTAAGCTGCCAGGTCCGGGACTCGAACCATGGTCGACTACATGGCAGTCCAGCAACATAGCCATTATGCTAACTGCTCGTCCTATCAATTAACAATTCAACAGATTGTACCAGATATCTGCAGTATGTTTTATCGAGGTCTGAAGAATTCCACTAGATTCTAACAAACAAACAGAGGGCCTCGTTCTACTCCAGAAATAAAACGACTCTACCCGCAAGCAGTCCAAACCGCCACCCTGTCCCCCAAGATAAATCACTCGTGTGATCATTTAGGAAGTTTATTTGTGAAGCTAAGAGTCGATTACTGACATTGCTCATATGTCTTTTTCTCCAAAGGCCCAGGGTTTCCACAGTGAAATTGAAGACTTTCTCTTGGAACTGACTAGAATGGAGAGCCAGCTTTCTGCATCTAAGCCCACAGGAGGGCTTCCTGAGACAGCCAGGGAGCAGCTTGATACACACATGGTAACAGCAGTTTCCTGAAACCGGGCATCGGCGTCGCATGTGCATTCAGTAGCTCCCTTCTGAGTTCACAGGAATATATGGATCTGAGAATCCAGAGTAGTGCATTTTCACCAAAAATATAGTACCCTTGGATTGCCGCATGTCTGTAGGCTTCTGCCAGCCTGTGACAGGCAGTAGTAGTGATGGAAGAGCCTCCTGGAAGTGTGTTGCTGAGGGGGTAAATTCTGAGCTCAGTTTAGTCACCGTAAGAGTATTGACGTAAGGGTGAGAACATCAAGAAGACAGTGTGTTTTTAAAAAGAAGACTACTTAGTGGAGGTTTGGGGAGTCGAATAGATATAGACAATATTTTTAGAAAGTGTCTCGAGGACAGAAAGCCACGTAATGTCTAGGCAAATCCTTCATGATAAAGGGAGATAAATTATTGGGATCTATCTTTGTGATCTTGGATCCTAAAAAAATATGTATTTTTTCCTTCTATTTATTTGACATCACAATTATTTTAATATTAAGAAAAGACCTGTGAGCTTCATTCTCTATTCACTCATCCGCTTATAAGTAGATGGTGAGGCCTTCCTGGACTCCAGACTGCTAGGGAGTCTGTGTGGGAGAGTCTCCCAGGGAACTGGAATTACTGATCTTTCCCGTCTTCCGTAGGAGCTCTATTCCCAGCTGAAAGCCAAGGAGGAGACCTACAACCAGCTGCTTGATAAGGGCCGGCTCATGCTCCTGAGCCGCGACGACTCTGGGTCCGGCTCCAAGACAGAGCAGAGCGTGGCCCTCTTGGAGCAGAAGTGGCAGGTGGTCAGCAGTAAGATGGAAGAAAGAAAGGTATGGCCGCGGCGGCATGCAGCGTGCAGTTCTTCTGTCTCACTAGTTGGCTTGGAGATCACATGTAATCCCCATTTCAGATGTGTGCAGATTTCAAAGGCCGGTGTAAGAGGAGGAGCTGCAGAGCTGATACCCCCAGAGTTGGCTTAGTAGTAACAAGCCATCCGTTCTGCCGTCTCATTTTCTATTTCCCATCTTTGTCAGATTGAGTCGGCCGTCTTAGTTTCTATGGATACTTGCTTTTGTAAATACTCATTGCTTTTCTGTTGGGTCGTCAAAAAAGTCACGATGCATTTTTACGTAGAAAAATAACGTCGTGCCTGTTCCGACGACCCAGTGAATCTACCAGTTAAGACATCACTGCTTGTGGCTGCTCATTTATGGGTTTTATAGCCCGTATTAACCACCAGTTTGTGTTCCTACTTAAAAATAAGGTTTTACTGGAGTTGGTAACTTAGAATTAGGAGAATGGGGACAGGGCATGCGGGAGTATGACAAACAGTTTTCCACAAGGAATTCAATTTTTAGTATTGGTGCAGTATACAAGGAAATTTACTGAAATTCAAGAGAGAAATAAAGTATATGACCTCCTCTCTCTCTACCTCAAAAACAAGTTCATTCTTCTCTTCAAAAGCAGAGAAAAGAGGTCGGGGATCAGAGCATTTGCCTAGGAGGACTGGGCGTTGTGCTGTGTTTTGTTTTAATTGGCAGAGGACATGTGCACTCGTGGGGCGCAGGGAGAGAGCGCTCCCACCGCAGGATGTGGCCACACCACGTTCCCTTCTCCATCCTCCAGCCTGTGTGGGCTTTGGGCCATGCAGGTGTATGCACCCAGTGTTTTTCCAAATCAGGTTATTGAATGACTTAGGTTGGGTTTGTACATTTTCATAACATTCAGTATAAGGTTTTTTGGGAAGTTGTAAAAGTGACATGGAAGGAGCTGGCAGGTGGTATGGTGGTTAAGGACACTGGACTCCCACATGGCCAACCACGGTTCAAGTCTTGGTCCTGGCGCTTGCTTTCTCACTTTCCCTCCCTCCCTGTCTGGTCAAATTAAAATAAATAAATAAAGTTAAATAAAATAATTGTTTTTTTTAAAGTAACATGAAAGCACAAAGAGGAAAATGAAAATCATATATAATCCAGTCAGCTAGAATTAATAACAGTTAGCATTTATAAGGTATATCTTGGGATTTTTCTTGAATATTTTGTATATATATATATTCCTGTCCTTTTTAAAAGAATTAATTACATTATTATCATCATCATTATTTAAAATTTGCTGTAAGGCATGCATGCTTACAGAGAGAGGCAGGCAGGGGGAGGAGAGGGGGGAAGAGGAGATGCTAGGTCTGGGACGTGAACCTTGGTCAGCCGTGTGGGAGTTCAGCGCCGTAACTATATCGTCACCTCCTTATTTTACTTTGCCTGTCTGGTGGATGGGCCTGAGGCGGAAGGCATCGCCAAGATGTGGAGGTAGCAGTCTCTGAGGAGCACGTGTGGCAGACTCAGACATGGCCACGTCCCACATTTCCACGTAATTAGACAGCATTGCCCTAAACGTCATCGTTACAGTAAACTGCTCTCCATGTGTTTGATTTTACACCACAAAAAGCACATTAAAGGAGGCTGAGGCTTAGCCACAGCAGGCTACAGCTCCTGCAGCCATCACCTCTGGCAAGCCCGTCCGCGTATGTTTACGGAATAGTTTGCGTTCTGCTCTTCGTGTCCCGGGAGGTGGACTGTGGCGAGAAGAGAACTTAACTGCTGTCTGTGCTGCTTCCTTCCCCACGTGCACAGTTCTTTTCCAGCTGTTACGTCTCAGACACTAATAGTAAAGTGTCCCATCCTTTATAAACAAGGCGTGTGGAGACTGGTGAAGTGAGGCGTTCTTAGAGGTCACTGCACTCGGTGTACCGTTCATGCCTTTGTTGCTGAGGCCGTAAGTCCTGCATCGGGCACTTTTTCATTGTGCATGTGTATGTTTTACTTTAAATTCAGTCAAAGCTGGAAGAGGCCCTGAACCTGGCGACAGAATTCCAGAATTCCCTCCAGGAGTTTATCAACTGGCTCACTCTAGCAGAGCAGAGTCTGAACATCGCTTCTCCTCCCAGCTTGATCCTCAACACTGTCCTCTCCCAGATCGAGGAGCACAAGGTGACCGGGGCGTTCTTCCGAGGGGACTGCTTGAAGTGAGGGCTCCTTCACCTTATCCCTAGCTTATGGAGAACCTTGTTCCCCCAGGTTTTTGCTAATGAAGTCAATGCTCATCGAGACCAGATCATCGAGCTGGACCAGACCGGGAGTCAGCTCAAGTTCCTTAGCCAAAAGCAGGATGTTGTTCTGATCAAGAACTTGCTGGTCAGTGTGCAGTCTCGGTGGGAGAAGGTTGTCCAGCGATCTATCGAGAGAGGGCGCTCACTAGACGATGCCAGGAAACGGGCCAAGCAAGTAAGTCGTGGACGAAGGGCAGTGGTCTTGCTCAGCCTTGGGCGGCATGTAGCGCCTCTGGGATGGGTCTTGTAACTGTTGTATAGTTTGCATATTTGTTCAGGTGGTAATTTATTTCTGATACCATTTTAGTTCCATGAAGCTTGGAAAAAATTGATCGACTGGCTGGAAGATGCAGAGAGCCACCTGGACTCAGAGCTGGAGATATCCAACGACCCAGACAAAATTAAGCTTCAGCTTTCTAAGCATAAGGTAAAGCGGCTAGTCACGCGTAGCTTGTGAGCTTGTGTTCACTACAGCGTGCAGCTCGCTAAAGATGAAATCAGCTAGTCAGAAGAAAACCCACTGGTTAATGTCAAAAAGTCAAGAGGAGGGACCAGCAGGTAGCATAATGGTTGCGTCACTGGACTCTCACCTAATCAGTCACGGATTGAGTCCCGGATCTGGTGGCTTAAAACTCACACTAGGCACTTGTGCGTTCGTGCCCAAGATCCTGAGAGGAGAATGGAGCAGAAGGGATCGCGGTGTGGCCATTCCCCTGAGGGGTGATTTCTCACTTTCTGTCTCTCTGTCTCTCCAGTTAGTGAGCATACCCTGTAGCAAAACTCTCTCTTTAAAAAAAAAAAAGGTGGGGGACCAGCAGTTGGTGTAATGGTTATGTCACTGGACTCCCATGTAGTCGACCGCGGTTCGAGTCCCAGACCCAGTGGCTTAAACTCATGCCGGCCACGTGTGCATGCGTGCCCAAGATCCCAAGAGGAGAATGGAGGAGAAGGGATTGCAGCATGGCCGTCCCCCCTGAGGGGTGATTTCTCGCTTTCTATCTCTCTCTCTCTGTCTTTCTGGCGAGTACACGCATCCTATAGCGAAAACCTCTTCCAACAAAAAAAGAAAGTCAAGACAATAAAACTAGGGTTCTATTCCATGTCTAGACACTTTAACCGTGATGTTTGCTTTCTTAAATAGGAGTTCAAGTAAAGTTGTTTTGGGAGTAACCAGTTAGAAGCAGTTGTGTGTGGCCCAGTGTGCTGATAGATACTGCTGCTTGGCAGGCCGAGGCCACACAGGTGGCTTGGCTCATCCCAGGCCTACCCTACAAACCAGCGTGGCAGTGCACACCTGTAGTTCCAGCTACTTGGGAGGCTGAGGCAGGAGGATCATGACACAGTGAGAACCTGTCTGGGAAAAAAAAAGACATATACTGCTGTGGAAGGCATTAGGGTTCTATTCCATGTCTAGACACTTTAACCGTGATGTTTGCTTTCTTAAATAGGAGTTCAAGTAAAGTTGTTTTGGGAGTAACCAGTTAGAAGCAGTTGTGTGTGGCCCAGTGTGCTGATAGATACTGCTGCTTGGCAGGCCGAGGCCACACAGGTGGCTTGGCTCATCCCAGGCCTACCCTACAAACCAGCGTGGCAGTGCACACCTGTAGTTCCAGCTACTTGGGAGGCTGAGGCAGGAGGATCATGACACAGTGAGAACCTGTCTGGGAAAAAAAAAAGACATATACTGCTGTGGAAGGCATAGACAGAAAAGGACAAATGTCTTAAGGAGAAATTGGGAATTTTCATTCAACTTTAGTGCCAATCTTACTGTGTAGGCTTTCTAGCTGATGACTCTAGTTTTTTTCATTCCAAATCAAGATGTCATTTGACTTTTAACACGTTTTTATTTCTTTTGTTTCTGGAAACCATAGGAGTTTCAGAAGACTCTTGGTGGCAAACAGCCTGTGTATGACACCACAATTAGAACGGGCAGAGCACTGAGAGAAAAGACCGTGCTCCCTGACGACGCTCAGAAACTGGACAACCTCCTGGGAGAAGTCAGAGACAAGTGGGACACCGTCTGTGGCAAGTCTGTGGAGCGGTGAGCGTGGCTGTCCGCCAAGGGTCTGCGTGGTATCCCCAAAGTGACTGAGACACTTGGGTCCCATCAGAGGTCACCGCGACGATCAGTAGGGTGTCCCGTGCTGCCTTAATGTCTCCGGTTAATTCCAGGAGAGTTAGGAAGTCATTTGAATCAAATATATTAAAGATCTCATTCTAGTGGCCAGCAGGTGGCGTAATGGCTAAGTCACTGGATTCCCACATGGTCGACCACTGTCGGAGTTAGGGACCCAGGAGCTTAAACTCCTGCTAGGCGCATGTGCACGCATGCCTAAGATCCAGAAAGGAGAATGGAGAAGGGACTGGGGTGTGGTCATCACCCATGGGGAGTGATTTCTCACTTTCTGTCTCACTGTCTCTCCAGTGAGCGCATGCGCCCTCTAGCAAAAATCTCTTTTTTTAAAAAAAAAAAATCATTTTGAACTTGAACCTTTACAGATGCGCTACTACTGCATATGTGGCAGAGTGCCCACCAGTCATTCCATCCTCAGGACTACCACTGTGCTAAGGATCATTATTCCTGATTTACAGCAGAGGACAAAATAGTCAAGAGATTTCTTAACTCTCACAAAGTCACTCGGCCCCTGATTATCAGGGCTGGGCTTAAACCTAGGCGTGTTGGCTCTCCCGTACCCTCTATGCCCTGCCAAGTGCTACAGCTCTGCACCAGCTGCACTCTGGTATCCTTTGATGAGGCAGGTCGTGTTCAGAGAAGAGCCGCTCAGGGTCACGTAGCTGGTCCAGCCAGGAGTTGAATTCTTAAGACCATCGTCCTCTTTGGAAGCGAAGCAAAGTGACTAACACACTTGGGTCAGTAGTTCTGTCCAGGTGTCATCGCGGTGTGAAAGGGTACCGCTGCCGGGATGGGGTGTGGTCATCACCCATGGGGAGTGATTTCTCACTTTCTGTCTCACTGTCTCTCCAGTGAGCGCATGCGCCCTCTAGCAAAAATCTCTTTTTTTAAAAAAAAAAAATCATTTTGAACTTGAACCTTTACAGATGCGCTACTACTGCATATGTGGCAGAGTGCCCACCAGTCATTCCATCCTCAGGACTACCACTGTGCTAAGGATCATTATTCCTGATTTACAGCAGAGGACAAAATAGTCAAGAGATTTCTTAACTCTCACAAAGTCACTCGGCCCCTGATTATCAGGGCTGGGCTTAAACCTAGGCGTGTTGGCTCTCCCGTACCCTCTATGCCCTGCCAAGTGCTACAGCTCTGCACCAGCTGCACTCTGGTATCCTTTGATGAGGCAGGTCGTGTTCAGAGAAGAGCCGCTCAGGGTCACGTAGCTGGTCCAGCCAGGAGTTGAATTCTTAAGACCATCGTCCTCTTTGGAAGCGAAGCAAAGTGACTAACACACTTGGGTCAGTAGTTCTGTCCAGGTGTCATCGCGGTGTGAAAGGGTACCGCTGCCGGGATTCTGTACTACGCTTTTTCTGTTCTAGACAGCGGTTTCACTAAAACGTCTGAACATCTGTCTCGGCCCCAGTTTACTCTATTTCTAACTGTTCTAACAGGGAAGTCACTCTGTAGAGTTCCAGCATTACTCCCTTTCAGCAGGTAGAATTGTGGGCCATTCATTAGAAGAGTTCCTAAAAATGGCGTGGTTTGTGTCTCTCAGGCAGCACAAATTGGAGGAAGCCCTGCTGTTCTCCGGCCAGTTCATGGACGCCCTGCAGGCCTTGGTCGACTGGTTATACAAGGTAGAGCCTCAGCTGGCCGAGGACCAGCCCGTGCATGGGGACCTCGACCTCGTCATGAACCTCATGGATGCCCATAAGGTGAGGAGTGGGCCCCGGGCTGCCTGAAGGACCACGCCGTGGGGCCTTGTGCTTCCGTATTCTTCTGCTTCGTGTTAACCGCCGAGGGGAGAGAGTCTGAAAGAGCCTGGGTCTCCACTCGTGAAACAGGCAGCTCCTTGTTTTGTTTTGAAACAAACTTGCTGGGATTCTGCATCAGTCACAAAGAATTCACCAAAATTGGTTTGATTCAGATCTGGTGACGTGTAAGCCTCGCTCTGCAGTTTCCCCTCTCCTGTTTGTCTCTCTTTGTTGACTCACAAAGTGAATTTAAATTCAGAAAACCTCAAGAAATGCATTTCCACTGACTTCCAAAGTGGAAATGGGTCGGGTTTTTTTTTGTTGTTTGTTTGTTTTTAACTGCTTCCAAGCCTAACAACCCAATGACAAGCACACGGGTATGTGTGTCGCCCGCGCCTGTCATGGGCTGTGTGATGACCCCCCGGATTCAGCACAAAGCATTCAGCTTCGCCTCAAAACTACGTCAGATTGTTGTTGTGTGCTTGGGAGCTATGTTCCCTGAATCGGGAAGTGTTAGTGTAGTCGCTGTCATTTACAGCTGAGGAAACGGGTGTCAGACTAAGCAGCTCACGCAGTTTCCCCCATCTTAAATGCCTGACATCCTGAGCTGCACCTTCTTCGTGTTTTCTGACCCTGGGCCCTGCCTCTCCTGTGTGTCTGTGTCACAGCCGGGCCCACCACGGAAATGACGACTTTCTCTGTGGCTTTGCTTCCTGCACTGAAAACATCCTAAACAAATGAACTGTTTTCTTTCCTAGGTTTTCCAGAAGGAACTGGGAAAGCGGACAGGAACAGTGCAGGTCCTGAAGCGGTCAGGCCGGGAGCTGATCGAGAACAGTCGAGATGACACCACATGGGTAAAAGGGCAGCTGCAGGAACTGAGCACTCGCTGGGACACCGTGTGTAAACTCTCTGTCTCCAAACAAAGCCGACTTGAGCAGGCCTTAAAACAGGTGAGGGCTGACCGGGGGGCGGATCCGAGCAGACTCATTGTATTTCTGTATTAGAATTAATTCTGGTCTGCTCTACAAGACTTCAGTTTTTCCAAGCTCTACGAAGAAAGATGCCCTTTGTGGAGCTCTGACAGAGCCATGAGGTGCCTGTGGTACGGAGGGCTCAGTCCTAGGCCCTCTCCCTGGCATCCTCTGGGGTCTAGGACCTCAGCTGCAGAGGACATAGGTTCAGTTTCTGCTTGGTCATTTCAGGCAGAAGAGTTTCGGGACACCGTCCACATGCTGTTAGAGTGGCTTTCTGAAGCAGAGCAGACGCTTCGCTTTCGGGGAGCACTTCCTGATGACACAGAGGCCCTGCAGTCACTCATCGACACCCACAAGGTAACTTGGCCCTGGGGTGCGGTGACCCGTGCTGTCCACCAGAGAGGGCTGCTCCACTGCTGAGCAAAAGCACTGCTGCCTGGAAGTGTCAGACCTCACAGAAGCAGCAAAACCAGGGGGTGCCCGGCTCATCGATTTGCAGGGATGGGAGAGAGGTGACTGGAGATTTTCGCGACACATTAAACATCCACATTTGTTCGTTGACTATATGCAAACAACACATGTTGGTTGTAAACAAGCTGAACTCCCTGGTGTTGAGTAGAGGGATGCGCGGACTGTTGTGTCGTTCCCCGCCCCCCCCAGAAGCACCCACCAAGCTGTAGGACAGGATGCAGTCCCTGAGCCTCACTCTACCCTAATGATGTGGGCTAAAAACAATTTCCTTTTTGATTTTCCTGTTATGTAGTCAGAGGGAGTTTTTTTGTTTGGGTTTTTGAGGTTTTTGCTATAGGGTGTGTGCGTTCACCAGAGAGACAGAGCAAGAAATCACCCCCCAAGGGAGGATGGCCACACCACAATCTCTTCTCCTCCATTCTCCCCTTGGGATTTTGGGCACGCCCGCACACATGCCCAGCGTGAGTTTTAAGCCACCGGGTCCAGGACTCACTCCACGGTTGGCCATGTGAGAGTCCACCTACTGGCCCCCCTACTCAGAGATTTTTAATCTTGATTTTGTTGTTGTATTGTGGGTATTTGAGGAATGTTCCAGTGTTTTACAGGTATCATTATATTTTTCCACAACAAATACGTTTACGAATACAGAAATGAATAAAAAAGGGATGTTAAAAAAGAGAAACTAACTCAGAACAGTAAATGGACCGTTCCTCTGCGTGTCCCTATTCTTTGCTGTCATTTCTAGCAGAGAAAGTTGTTCTGTGTCAATGTCAGAGCCTGACCACAGTCTTAACCAGGTCTGTGTCTACGCATGGAGGGGAAGTAGTCACAGGAATTCTTTGTCTCAGTGAAGCAGTGTTGCCAGAGTAGATTTCTTAAGGTTTCGTTTCAAATCATTGTCATTTAGGAATTCATGAAGAAGGTGGAGGAAAAGCGAGTGGACGTCAGCTCAGCAGTGGCCATGGGAGAAGTCATCCTGGCCGTCTGCCACCCCGACTGCGTCACCACCATCAAACACTGGATCACCATCATCCGAGCTCGCTTCGAGGAGGTGAGTCTCCGGTTTCAGGGAAGATGCCACATCCCACAAAACGAGGTTGTAGTGATGAGCACTACCGAGCCCGCTGTCCCTCCCCCCAGTGGGGGGATCCTCCGTTCTCTGTGACGCCCTCAG